AAGCGAAATAAACCGGAAAGAATAACCACATGATATCAATCATGGGTGGGGGATAAAACTGAAAGCAACAAATGAACAGGACAAAGAGAGACTCATGGACGTAGACAATGGACTAGTGGTTACCAGAGGGTGGCGGGGAGGGAGGACGGGGGAGGTAGTTAGGGTAAAAGGGGTCAAATAAATATGTGGTGACAGAAAGAAATCTAACTATGGGTGGTGAATACACAATGCATATGTATATTATACACCTGAAACTTACTGGATTTTGTTAACCAAGGTCAACATTAAAAAAAAAAAAAGACTCCACAATAATAAGAGATTCTGTTTTAATTCAATAAAAATAAACTCAATCCCTTATCAACTAGAAACCTGAAGTTAAGATTAAGCATGCCCTAAATCCTATACATGATCCTAAGTGCAGTCCATGCATTACTTAATCGGATCCTCAAAATAATTGTATGAACTGAGTGCAATAATTCTTCTCATTTTACAGATGAGGAAATTGTGGCCTAAAGAGATTATATAAATTTTCCAAGACTGAAGATCCAGATTTCAAAATGGCAGATGGATTTAAAGCCTGTGTTACTTTGCCACATTGCTTCTCAACTCTGGGAAAACTGGTGTAAATTTACTCACAAAGAATATATTTTAATAATTCAAAGTAAGAGTCGCCAAGACAATGGAACTAAGAGTACTAAAATATATAAAAATGCTCTAGTTTTTGTCAATCTGCAATAAGGTTATAAGTGAATATTTTCATAAGCAGAAGTGCTATCTTAGTGCTATCTGTGCAGATGTGTGTTTTTATGTCCATGTGTGCACATCCATATCTGTTTGTGTATTATAAGAAAGACATAGAACTGGAGAGAGAAGATGAAGAGAGCAAAAGTTTAAAACATTTTTAAAAATCTTCTTGTATTGATTCTGGATTATAACAATTTGCAAAGGTCACCAAAGGACCACAATATAACTTCTAACTGCTATACTGAGAGAGATTTATAAAGCTATATATCTCATCTCTCTGCCTTCTTTCCAATTTACTCAGTGTGGAAAATGACATTGGCCTTCCAAAACCTCAACTTATGTTTGGACCCATTCCATCTTCGAGTCTTATTCTAGTGTTGCTGACCATTAAAATGAATATTTCAGCGGAGCTGGAACAGTCCTATTAGCCCAAGCCAAGCTTTATATAGCTTGTGCACTTTAAGAGGTTAATCTTGCCAGCCAGTTCACTTTGTTCAGAAGCATTAAATGGAAAGACTGCAACATTCAAAGAAAGGCAAAGTTCACTGGGTGAGTCCCCAATAATCTAATGGAGCATAAAAACTTCTAGAAATTTTATCGTAATATTTTATGAAACATGTGCACACAGTCACTGGAATAGAATACAATTCAAATGGTTCTGAAAGTCAGTTCAAAGTCACCACATAGGCGCTATCTTCGTGAGAAACATGGACTATTTCAAAAGTGTCTGGACCCAGAAGCTTCCTTTCCCAATTTTATAGTTTATTATCAGTTCAGCAGCATACTATATTAGGGGGGAAAAATCACCTATTACAACATGATATAATTTGCAGCCAAACCATAAAGTTCAATAAAATATTCTAAATTTCAGTATCAAGAAATCCTTGTGTTAAGGAATAAAAAGAACCAAGAGTATAATTCTAAAAGAAGAGCTACTTCAAGTGTGGGCCAAAAATATAAAAATTAAAAACAATTATTTTATTCTCAACTTCACAACCAATTATGAAAGCCTTTGATATGCATCGCTGTGAAAGGAACAAATGACTCTCAGTTCCTACATTTAAAAGTGATTTAGAAATGTGGCTGATTAGAGCCAACTATTAGTATTTTTCTGATGTTTCCAAAATGCTCAAATTCTATGAGCAACTATGATTCTCCTAAGGGGAAGGAAGTAAAGGTCCACTTTGCATGACAAAGGTCAGATTTCTGCAGGCACAATGAGACTTCTATGGTCCACTGTTCCTAGGTTGTCACTGTTCGGTTGGGTCCTAAGAGGTCAAGAGAGGTTCCAAATAGTGTTCACTGCTTACAGGAGACCCCTGCGGCCAGTTTTTAAGGTCATTAAGATTTTCTTACTCTGGTTCCAGCTTTACTCCCTTAAATCTTGCTAATACATACTGGCAATTCAGTACTGATGTAAGTTAAAAAGAAACGGAAAATATTTAGTATTCTATGCAGATCAAAAATAGAATCCACTTATTTAACAATTTCTTGTAAATCTAAGATTCAGTTCACAGAAGATGATAATCAGGCCCCAAGAGAAAAGCTCAACTGTATTACAGCTGTCCTGGTATTTACACTGTATGATCAATGCCGCTACCCTAGATTTCAATTAATATGACGTAGCTTTATGTGTAAATTATCTTAAATAGTCTTCCTAATCATCATATATATATTTATTATGGTAATTTTTTTGTTTACTTTCTTTTATAATAACTATTGAGTCACAACAATATAACAAATGTTGAAGTAAAAATTATTATTTGACTCTACTTTGATGCTCTTCTATTTAGTGCAAATATATGTCTAAACTTTCTCACAGAGGATTGGAAAGACACAAGATGGATTATATTTATCAAAGTTGGAAGAGTTCTATTTGTAATTAATGAAGGGTACCTCTAAGTATTTTAGATAATGTGTGGAAAACATCTGTATTTAATTATAGCCTACATACTTAGACAATAGGAATTGAATTAAGGGATATTTTAAAACCTCTATAGAGATATAAAAATATTAATAGTTGTTCAAGAATCTTATTGGTACAATGCTAGAAAATGTTTGCTTTTACAGATCAACAACCTGACACTTCATGAGTATCAGGTTTTCAATACAAAGGGATGAAATTTAAAACACTGGGCAAATAGAGAAAAAAGAAAAGACAAGGGCTGTATCTTTTCACTATTATTATATATCCCATAGACACTGAAAAGGTCTTTCATATTAGTACAGATTTGAATACAATTCCATAACATATATCCTGAGCAGGATTTCACTTTGAATTTTATTATGGATTGAGACTTTCTACAAGAATAAATTAACAGCTTGCTACTCATTCTTCACAGAGGAAAAATCCAACATTGTTCTCATGGAAACAGTGGGACACAAAGTATGGGTTCTTAGTATTTGTTCTACAGTATTGAAAAAACCCAGATTTTTTTTCCTGCCTGCTTACTGGTTCCAAATGCCACTTCTTGTCAAAGTCAGTGTCAGTTCTGCAGTCAGTTTTCAATCTCCCAGTGGTAAGAATATATTCAAAAGCTGTGTGCACAGCAGGGTAGAAGTCTTTCTCTGTGAATGTAACTATATCACTCATCAGTAACCTCCTGCCATAAGGAGACTTGTGTTTTCTTTCCTTTCGTGACTCTGTGGGCTCTTGAATACCAGTCACTGCCCTGAGACCTGGGGCAATATTCACATAATCTCTGTCAATAGTTCCTACACATGCCCTTAGTGCCACTAAACGTCAAGGCTGCAGATCAAAGACCGCACATTCTAAAACTCCTGTCCTTTATGGATCAATTTTCATAAACTATACTCCATGTTTTAGAAATACATGGAGGCTCACTCTTTGCTTTCTTCCTTTCATCCCAGAGAAGTTTATTTATATGAAGGGCAATATGATTTGTAGATAATAGTGTGAAATTCTGATGCAATTCATAAAACTCATTCTCCCTTTTGTATACTATTCTTGAAGTATTTTACTATACCTATCGTCAGAGTAAAAATCTTTGGGCTATTAAAAGAAAAAGGCATGAATTGCTTTGGAATACTTGATTATCCTTCCTCAGTGCCTGGTACAACAGATGGTAGGTAATACATTCTTCTTCATGATTGATTATATTTTTAAATCTTCATTATGTTACAGGTAAATTATATAACAGAAAATAGTTTCGGTATGTGTTTTTATAATCTATATCCATTTTAATTATTCAAAATTGCTTGGGAAAACGAATGTAATTATTTGAAATCATTTTCTCTTGGTAGATTTCATATACAAATTACATAGATCTATACTTCTTCAAGCAGACCTGAGTAAAATAAAATGGATCAAATTATCTTCTCTGAATAACTTTTTAGATCAATTGTGGATACAAAATTTTTTTAATTTACAACTTTCTCTAAAGAGCCATATTTGGAAAACATCACAAGATTTAGAACAGAAAGTACACAAATGCTATTTATGCTTATATCTTGCTAAAGTCTAAATATATTTATTATAGAGGTAAGAGCATATAACACATAAAATGTGCACATTATCAGAGGGTTATAAAAGGAGAAGATGGGAAAACAAACACAGGCCTTAGAACCATAGGACTGCTTACTAAATTCCAAATAGAAGCTTCACTGTCCCAGTTCCCATAAACAAATTTTAATATAATTACATGAGATTATTAGGTACAAAACTTTACTCTGAGTTCTCCTATAAACTATAAGACATTAGGCAAGTCACTTACTTAGAAAACAGCTTTGGCCTTATGTTTTCACCACTTAATCTACTGAAATTTAAGGATTTTAAAATGTGTGAGAAATAATGTTTATTATTCTCATTTTTGTATTAAATGATGGAAGCTCAACAGAAAATTGGATTAATGGTGACTATGATAGAAGTTCTTATTCATGGAAAAGATTTAAATTTTCTGAGAAATCAAATTTCTATTTTCCTTAATTCTACTATTTACTGCTAATAAGATAATTGGTCTAAAATCCAAATATGATAACCTTTTAAATTAAAAAATGTACTTGAATTATATACTGAGTAAACTGATATAGAAATAGGTGTATATGTGTGTGTATGTGTCTCTGTGCACGTGTAAATGTGCCCGCACATACTATTTATTTATTCTGAGGACAGGGGTGCAGAGAGCATGATGGCTATGATCAAATCCTTTGATCATAGATCCGCTAGAGGCATGGCAAAATGAAACTACAGGTATGTTATGGAAGAATAAGTGGACTCTTCTGTTAATCTAGCTTACCAGTTTTTCGAAGGGGGAAATCATCCTTTGCATCTTGTGCTCCTGGTAATGTGTATTTGTAGGATGGAGATGTTCCACTCAGGGGTGGAGAGCTTTGATCCAATGATGTGTGGTGGGCAGCCCTACAAAAGAAAAAAAAGAGGGTCCACCATTTGCACTGGAGTTTTTATTGCACGTTGGTCAGCAATAATCAGTTGCACATGCTGTACACGTGGCTCAGCTCTGTTTATGTTCTTCCTTTTTAGTGTAACCAAGTTCACTTTAGCAGTATGTTATGGAATGATGCAGGACTTACAAGAATGCCCACTATGTGTTTGGTCACACAGTCACATAGAAAGTTTGTTTTACTAAAAGAGAGAATTTACCAAGATCCTGAGTTTTGATAATCTGAGACTATTGTGTACTTTTTCTTAAGAGTCATGCTATTGAAAAAGTCGTCATCTGAATCCTTTTCTGTCAACAATGTAGAATAAACAAGGTAAAAGTAAACATAGAAGGACTTCGTTTTTAAAAAAATTGGTAGATACTACATGAAAGCACATGTACACCAGTCTCAGGTGACTGTGATTTGAAAAAATAATTTTGATTTTTCAAAATGTTTTCTCTTTTCTACGTAAATACAGTAAAGGACATACATTTGCACTACTGAAGAGTAGTTTACAGGACAGAACATAAACTAACCAATGGTTCTAAGTACCTATACTTATTATAAATGAAGAAAACAATGGCTAGGGCATGGTATCACCACCAAGGTGATCATTCTACCAGTACTATTAATTTGAATCACACATTCTCAAGAATTATCTGGTTTAAGGATATTTCATCTAGCCATAACTGGAAAAAAAGTATTACATTCAGATTCCATAAGTTAATGATTTATGGTTGTCTGGAGTTGGACCCTACTGAAGTTCAGTTCAGTACATAAAGGGATTGCTAAGTAACATTTGAGAGTCATGATTCATAAAGCCAAGGGAAGAGCTTAGTTGTTTGCATGTAGTTATTGCCTCCCCACTCCCCCCAAAAAAGGTATTATCTCTTCTTAAAACAGACTTTAACTTAGAAAGAATACAAATTGGACATAAATTATGTATGTAATTTTAGATAATAAAATGGTATTTCTTTTTAAATATTTCGTGATGTTGGTTGAGCATTTGAAAAATTTTCTTTAGGGACTGGTTCTCAAGTGAACTAACATGTGTGATAGAAATTAGGTAAACCATTAAAAAGTATTTATACAGCATTATAGAATCTGCCTCAGTTAACTTGTTTTAGAGTCAGAGAAAAATAAAATAGAATTATAAGTATAATAATGCTTTAAATAGAAATCCTGTGATGCTTACAATTTCAGTATAACAGTGTAATCAAATATTTACTCCCTTATCCTTATGATGTAAAGGATTAAAAATATTTAAGTTTAAAATCCTATGGTCATTCTGCAAACATTTATAAAATGGGAGAAATTAAATTATCATCGATTAGTTAGCGTATTATCCAAATATGTTTTGCCTATTAGTTTTGTCTTGATTTTTAAAAAAAACCGTGTCCTTTGTATTTTACAGAAAGAAGAATTGTGTATTATATAGTATTCCTTTACTGAACTTGGGGAAACTTGGTTCCATAAAAACCATAACATCGCACTGTTTTGTTTTGTCTGCTTATGTATCAGAAGTTAATCTCTCATGTTACAGGGTGGGAAGAAATAAGGTGATATAGGCAGGGGAAACTAGTTACTGAAGACTTGGATTTATTTAGTTAGGTACCTCTCTTCTCTTTCTTCCCCTTCCCTCCCTAGTCTTCTTTCCTCCTTATTTTTTTTTAAATAAAAAATCTTCTGGACTTTTAAAAATAGCTCAGAGCTCCATCTTATATCAAGCCAAATAAAATAAAATCTAAACCTGCCAAATCTTCAGAAATAACTGTAAAAATGTCAGATGCACCATCTAAGAATAGAAAACTGCAAAATACAAACCAATTTCGATGCCCCACCCCACATTTGTCAATTATTCATTCAACAAAGAACATATATTCTTCCTGGCCCACAAGAGGCTACCTGTTAACATTTATTAAGCCCTATTTCTGTTACGCACTTCACCACATGATTTTGTAGGACCTTTCCAGAAAGCCTAGAGGACTGGTACTATTATTGTCCTCTTTTTACGGAGCAGGAAACTGGATGTTAGAGAAGTCAAGGACCTTGCCCACAGCCACATAGCAAAGAACTAGTAAGCCCCAGATCTGTGCCCAGGTGGGCTAAATATACAACCTATGTTCTTGACCCCAGAATTGAAAACAGCCAAACACTGAACATACGTGTACCAGAGCTTGGGATGGCGGCTCACGGAATGATTTTTTCCATTAGTTGGAGTGTCTTTCGTTGCTGATTTACTCAACAGGAATTCTTGAAGCTTCTGCTTTACTTCTGTACTTGCCACTGCCCCTGAAACACATGCATATAGAAACAGACGTTGATTTGGGGTTTGATACTTTCATGACTCTAAAATATTTAGCGAAAATTAAGAAGTAATACCACTGGTCACCGTAATGAAGTTTTCCTATTAAAAGAAGAAACCAGAGTCTAAATGGACTTTAGAAAATGGCAAAGTAATTATTTTGCAACTACTGATTAAAGCACCAATTTTTAAAAGAACTTTAATGATTTTTTAAAATTGTTTTATAGAAAGGGGAATCCTAGATTAATACTAATTTTTTTCTAAGCTTTAAAAATACTGCTGAGGAACAGAACACTGCCTTTTAAAAATCAAGAATCTTAGGGAACCACATAAGTGATTGAACACATTAAATGATCTTTTTTGAATAGCTATTTTGAAAAACTTTTTAAAAACTCTTTTGAGAATTAAACAAATAAACACTGCTGGCAATTTCAGTTCAAGTCATCCTGTTTTAAACCTTGCAACAACCTGATTTTGAACTGACCTCACACAGAGGAATTATTTGGATCTGTCTCCCTCTTGTGGATAGATTTTTTTTTTTTTTTTTTAAAACAAATGTTCTCCCTTAAATTTTCCCAAAGTCTTGGAC